CCCTCTGGCACGGTTTAGATTGGGAAATTTACAGTTCACATGTGTTGAGCTGCTGCTAATATTCATATTTAAAGAAAAACTCAGGCTGTAAATTATTTTCCTTGACTAGGACCCACTATGTAGCATGTGCAGCAGCTTGGTGCAAGCTATTAGCTAGAAAATAATCAGTCAGAAGTAGCTGTTTTGAATTCCAACTCTTTAAATGGACACTGGCAACTAATTGTCCAAAATAAGTGTTTTTAATTAAAATATTTTTCTGCCTTTTAGTGAGTCCAAATATATATTATTGTGCTATTATATGAAAATCAGAAAGTTAAACCCAGTGATTATTTAAAGATATAAAGGGGGAGATGGAGATATTATCAAAACCTTTGGATAAACTGGTAAGATTGCAACCCTGATTCTTAGGCTCAGTCTAAACTTAAAAAGTTTTACTGGCGTAACTGTGCTGGCGGGCTGTGTGTGATATTTTACCAATATAGTTATGCCAGTAAAAGCATTGGTATGGATGTAGTTATACCAGTATAATTTATTTCACTTTGCTGAACTGGAATAAGGCCATGTCTGCACTACAGACTTGTGCTGGCATAGCTGTTCAGTCAGGTGTGTGAAAAGGTGTAGTCCCTGACTGACATAGCTCTGCCTGCAGAAGTCTGTAGCGTAGACACCACCTGTACTAGGGGGGGGGGGGGATTTTTTTTTTAACTGATCTAGATTGTACAGATGGGGGATAGTTGTACTATACCAGGACAAGCATAACTTTGTTGGTGTAGCTGCATTCACACTAAGAGTGCTTTGCCAGTATAGGAATACTAATATATTATATTGGTAAAGCAATCCTAGCATAGACATAGCCTAAACGATATCAATCTAAGCACTTTCATGTGGTTTAACTGCTTGTACACTGGGGGTGGGGTTTGTCTGTTTAACTGTGCCAGCATAGGTAGTCTCTACACTTAAGTTTTGACAGGGCTTTGGAGAGTACTGGTTTTCCCAAGGTTTTCTGTGTCTGAGGGCTTGTCTACACCACCAAGTTTTGTTGACAAAACTTATGTCAACACCCAAAAGTCAACAAAACAAAAATCACCAAAGGGTGTTCACACTTGCTCCCTCTATCGACAGATCATGTCCACATTGCTCACACTGTCGATGATGATGTCTCCAATGCACCGTGGGTATGTATCCCACAGTGCAGTGTTGTGGGATGGAAGAGCTGATCGCTGCACGAGTTCTTCCACAGCCCCCTCAGCTGCCGAGAGCAGCATCATGAATAGCTCTGTGAGCTCTCCATGCTGAGGAATGGCAAAGCAGCACAGCAGTCTGTCCCCCTCCCCCTGCAGCAGCAGTCTGCCTGCTGCTGTGTTCCTAGTGCTGGGCAGAACAGGAGCATTCCAATGATTTGCTCTTTGTTTGTTCCTGTGATGGTGCACGACTCACTGCTGCAGCACCTCCTGCTGGTCATCTCAGGGAATTAGCATTTCCAGCCTCCCGAGTGCCCTCTGCAGGCCAGTGTCCCACTGCCACTAGCCCCCCCCTCTCCCCCATGTCCCTCCCAGGACCCGGTGCCCCGGTGCTGCCCCCTGGCAATACCCCTGCAGTCTCAGGGTCTCCCCACCCAGGGGAACCCCCAACCCTCTATCCCCACCTTACCTCAGTCATGGGCTACTGCCAGTCACCATCTAGCCCCCGCTCACTGGGGCAGACTGCAGTGTAAAAGCCACTCATCATAAGCAAGGGGAGTTTGGACCTGCTGCCTCTGCCTACCCATGGGCTGCCCTCTGCAACCCCAGTGCCTAATTGGCCTTCCACTAGGCCACAGCCTGGGGGTTTCCAGGCCAGAACTCCCCAGCTCCCTTGGCCTTCCCCCAGCCCTGCTGCACTCCAGGTACCTTCTCTCAGCTCCCTGCAGCCAGGTCCCTCCCTCTCAAAGCTAGTGAGAGTCTGTCTCTGGCTTGTGGCCCCAGCCCTCTTATAAGGGCCAGCTGGGCCTTCATTAAGCCAGCCACGGCCTGATTGGGACGTGTCCTCCAGCTGAGGCTGCTTTGCCCAATCAGCCCCACTTTTCCTTCCCTGCCACAGCCCTCTTCCCGGGCTGTTTTAAGCCTTTTAAGGCAGGAGTGGGTGACCACCCCGCTACAGTTCCCCAAAGGGAGCAGCACACAGATACTTCCCGGAGCTTTGAAAGGGGAGGGGCTCATGCCTGCAGGGCAGCAGAGATCAAAACACTGAGCAGAGCAATCAGGGCAGGCATTGTGGGATACTGGCGGAAGCCAGTTCTGTGAACGGAACAATCAGCAGTGTCTACACTGGCTCTTCGTCGACAATAAAGGGAGGGGAAAAGACAAAAGTCTGTAGTAGGGATGGAAGTTTTTGTCGCCAATGCTGGGCATTTTTCGTGACAAAAGTCCCATTGTAGTGTGTACACTCTTGCTGTTTTGTCGCCAAAAGGCAGTTTTTGGCAACAAAACTTGGTAGTGTAGACAAGGCCTGAGTCTAGTGGGACTGATACTTGAGCTTAGAAGTGAAATTGACCCATCTAGTTCTATTATACAGGCGTAGCAACAGTGTAATTAATAAAGATTTCTAAAAAGTGACAAGGAGTCCTGTGGCACCTTATAGACTAACAGACGTATTGGCGCATAAGCATTTGTGGGTGAATGGTCACCCACGAAAGCTAATTCTCCAATACATCTGTTAGTCAATAAGGTGCCACAGGACTCCTTGTCACTTTGTTACAGATCCAGACTAACACGGCTACCCCTCTGATAAGGATTTCTAAGATATGTAACAAATCTTTATCTAAAGTGGCAGGACATAGAGTTGTGTGGCGACGACAGATGAAAGGAAACAGAACACCAGGTTTGTGGTAGCCGAAAAGCCCCTCTACCTCCCAGGAACTTTTCCTGGGGCTTTTATTTCTCTCCTTACTTTGTTTACAACTCTTCTCATTGGTACAAATCTTGCGCATGAAGAAGACATGCAGTAGTCAATTACATAAAGTAACAGCCCCATATCTTGTGCACGTGAAAGCCAGCTGCAAGGGAGAAAAACAGGCAAGCCAAAAGTTTTCCCAAACACAGACGCTGGGACAAGGTCACTCCTGCCTCGTTGCTAAGGGAACAGTTTGCCGTTCTCGTGGGCAGACGATTCGGGAGCAACACATTCCTACAGAGTTGGAAAACTATAGCAATGTCGCACAAACTTTTATAGGTTAATTTTGCTTTGTAAATTAAAGGTATTAAAACTAATACCGTTTTGTCTAGAGATGAGCATGCTGTCTGCGTATAGTCAAATCCCAGATTCTGACCATAAAGTTGGTAGAGATAGGTAGTGCTGCAAAGGCGATGGCATTAGCTCTCTGTGGTCTGGTCTATATGAAATATAAGACTAGGAGAAATATTTCCATGGGTTCTGTTTTGTTTTTGTTTTGAAATTTCAGTGGAAACTCCCCCCCCCAAAATAAATAAATAAAAAAAACAAACCCAAACATTCTTCTGCAACCCAATTAAAGGTCCTAATTTCTTACTGTTGCATTCTGCCTTTGGTAGCACCACTAGATGTAGTTGAGACAGGTCTCTTATTTTTACCTCCATGTTGCCTTAACCTGTTCAGAGTAGACTGTCACGTTGGTTAGATGATGTGTTGGTAAAAGTGCCAAAGACCTGTCTACACTGCAACCTTTGCTGCTGCTGCAACAGTAATGAATTGCAAATCATGCATTTTGCCAGTATAGATACAGCCTGTGAGGGGGATGGGTGTAGAGATGAGCAAAGTCTTGTTAAGAGTGATACCTGCAGGTTAAGATCAGCATTAATAGAGTCCTGAAGTTAAGCCCTCTACTCAGGAAGTATTTTTTTTACAAGTATTATTTGTAAAAAAGTGAATAGTTGGCATGGAAACAAAGCCTTTATAGAGTTACCCTTAATTTTATGACCCAGTCAGGTTCTCCCTTCCTGGAATGTCCTACTCCATTGAATCTTTACTGCTGGGGTAATGTAGTATGGGGAAAGCTAGTCATTGGGAAGTGGCCAAAATGAGAGAACTGCAAACAAAATGTTATGCAAACACACTTGAGAGGATAGCAGTACAACTGTGTTCTCCTTTCTTCAAGCTAGAGAAACTTGTCCCATGGACAATCTAGTTGTCATAACTTTTTTTTTTTTTAGTAGATCAAATGAGTTCTCTTTTTTAAAAAATAACTCATGTCCTTCCCTCAAAAATAAAATGGTCTGAGGTGAGTGTAGAACTTCTGGGTAGATTGACCATTTGATGTGTCTGACCTTAGTCTCAGCAAAAAAACCTTGCTCTTTGCTTTGGAAAAGAGCAATTTCCCCATACTGCACTGGGGTGGGGAGTGTGTGCATAATTAGCTATGTGTACTTTCTCTGAAGTAGGGCGGGGGCACAAATGGTTCAACAGCATCAAAAGTAGAACTTCGAGAAGCAGCTAAGTTGGATGACCAGCTTCTGCCATTTATTATAAGGAAGCTGGGGCACTAGTTTTCATTTTCAGCTCTGGGCTGTACATGCTAGCCAATGTGCCTGACGCTACATTCAGGTCTTGCAGCATTCCCAATAGGCAGAAAGAAATACAATTTCGCTTGTCCTGCGTGAGCATCTAACAACCAAAAACCTGTCTTCCTAGTCTGCTCCCTTCACTCTCATGCATGAAACCATGAATTGGTAATGTATACTGTATAGTCAACAAGTGTGTGCCTGGTGTATTGTGTTCTGTTCAGCTTGATCTACTGTATTAGTTAATTTTAACAGCAAGGTTGCATTTTTCTCTACATATCAAGTGTTTAATTTGTGGCATTTTTGTACTTGTCTAATGGTTTGTCAGGTCACAAACCACAAATACAAAATTATTTTGGCTTTGACATTTAAACTTTTTTCTTTTATCAGAGATAATTATTTTCACTGCTTTAATATCAGCTGACTGCCTGGTACAAACATTGGCAAATTGATTAGATAATTTGAATAATCTTTATTTTTCCACAGCTGCTTTCCTTTTTGGCCTTCATCCTTGAAGAAATTGTGGAGAGTTGTGTCCTGTGTGGTGGGCTTTATTTCTTTGAGTTTATAAGCTTCAGTGCCACCTTTCTGAGTCTCCTGATATTCATTGTGTATTGCACCTCTGCATATGATAAAGTTGAGAAGGCTAGATTAAGGACATTGGTAAGGAACTGCTTTATTTTTAATTATTTTCGCTTCTAAATGTTAAGGTGTTTTTTGTTAAAGCAATTTAAGTTACATGACTGTTCTGTCTAGACAATATATACTATTTGGTAACAAGACAACACAATGTTAACTGAGTTATCTTCTTTATATTAGCAACTATTTACACATTTTCACGTTGGCTACGGTGAGATACAGAGTTTCAGCTCTGGGCTGTGGAACTGGAAAGATGACAGCTTGTTTTCCAGGAAAGCTGACTGCTGGTTCTAAACCTGGGATAAATGACCCAGTATTCAGACCAAAGCAGGTGTTTCTCCTCTGTGTGCCCCTTAACTAGCTGAGTAGCATAAAGAGCATGAAGAAAGGGGTAACACTGCTTGAAAAGTCACTTGACAATATGAGTCCGATGCCAGTGAATCTCCTCCCTGCATATTACTGTGGGTGAGGGAAGGCACAGTGGATTTTAGTATTTTCCAATTTTATGTATCCGGACATACAGTAAAGATTTTCTTATGTGTGATAATAGGTTTAGTTAAGGATCAATACGCATGTTTTATTTAACAAAAGTTCTCTTGAGCACGTGTGCGCATCTCTTTTGTTACAGCTAGGTTTAATAGATTTTTAAGTCTGCAAGGAACCATTATGAACAACTAATCTGACCTCCTGCATAACACAGGCCAAATGATTTTACCCTGTAATTCCCATGTTTGCATTTCTGGCTCTGCAGGAGATTGCCATGTCTGTTTCAAGATCATTTTTGTAAAGTGAGGTGGGATTCCTTTGGTATGAAAAGACATAGATAAAATCAAATTCTGTTCCTAAAGGGGCTTTCCTGTGTTTTCTCGTCTCCAATAAAATAAGCAAAAAGAGTTTATAGAACTTCTAAAACAAGAAGTGCAGGTTTTTTCCCTGGTATTGCATTAAGAAGTAAAAATGAGTAGAGGGGAAGAACAAGTCAGAACTCACAAAATGTAAGATCAGGAGAAATATTTCCATGTGTTTTTGTTTGTTTGTTTTGTTTTTAAATTTCAGTGGAAACTCCCCCTCCCTCCCCCTCCCCAAAAAATCAAACATTCTTCTGCAACCCAAACATGGCAACACTGAGAACCTGTAGTGAAAAGTAAATTAGATTACTGGGAGTTCTTATAATCTCTTGTGCTAGTGGCATGGGTAAGATGTGTGTTTAATGAGATTTTTAAAAGTGACTATGTCCTTTTCAATTAAAATATAAACGAGTCGTCTCCACCACACATGAACACACATACCCATCTGAAACTCATTCTACCTCCCTTTCTGGGGTTTTCCTTTATTCTTAACTTAAAACAACAAATCTAAACTTTCACCTGAGTTTTCCTCTGAACTCCCTGTTTCTAGGGTTTTGCTTTGAAATACCTCCTCACTTGCCCTTTAGACTCTCATTTTATTGAGCTGGAGCTATTGAGGCCCATTTGGTTTTGCCCTTGGGGTGGATCAGCAGCATAGATCTGCATTTCCAGGCAGAGTCCTAGGACTTGGCATTCTGTCACACAAACTAATATTAAATTATATTATAGCCTCTCTGGAGTGCAGTTTGTTGCCAGCACATAATACTGGGATCCCTGTCTATCACATGGATTCACCCTGTAGAATATTTCATTTAATTACTTGGAACTTGCCTGTTTCCCTAATCTAATGTACAGAAATGTTTTCTTACCCCATGTCATCCTCCACCTCTTTCAGAGGCCAGTTATGCTCAGTATGCTTTTGAATTTCAGAAAATACAATATTGGCAAGAACACTATTTTGTGTTGTGAGCATCCACCTAACTTAAGAATTGTGTCATATAGCAAACAATATGTAGATTCTGTGACTGAAGGCATAAAGGTAGGAGAGTATCAGTACCAAGAGATCTGAGTGAATGCACTTATTTGTAAGGCTCCCTTTTCCCCAAGGCCTCTAAGAACTTAATGAAACTAGGATAGCTAAACAGACTTCTTCTGAATGTGGAATGTGCTGAGAGAAGTTACATGGATGTGAGTGAGGTAGGAAGGGGGAAGGCATAGAAAGAATAGTATGTGATGCAGACTCCTTTCACATTGCTGCAGTTGAACGTTGTGCTGTATATAATTAGAAATATACATGTTTTCTAGATTTATAATAGCGCCAGGTTTCACATATGATTTCATTGTCTGATTAACTTGGGCATTTTTAATATACTGGTTCCTTTACCAACCAGTGCCTCCACTAGTTTGTAATTTTCTCTTTTTTTTATGATTGCAGGATTTCTGGGTCACTACAGTAGTGGGAGTTCTCTTTTTTGTAGCTTCCATTGTGTTTGCTGCAACCAATGACAAGTCATCTGTTGAAACTGTTGCAATTGTAAGTATCTGAAAACACCCCAGACTCCATACCATGTTAAACTTTCAGTCCTCTGCTCAAGGTTTAGAGGAAGGGAAGCTCTGGCCAGGTTGTGGGCAGAAAGCAGAAGGCAATGCATTTGTTGAGGTAAGGATGCAGGAAGAGGTGGCTACCTTAGGGCTCCTAAGACCTGGTACATAAACCTCTGCTACAACAGAGTGTGGGAGATCCACATGATGGGCACATTCTACAGCTGTGGTCTTCATAAGGTTTGCTGGAAGCTCAGTGCACCCTAGGAGCTCCATAATATTGTGGATGCTAGGAAAAGCTCTTAGTCCCCTCAGTTAGCTGTGCAACCTTGGCCCTGTGTTTTCTGGCCCCTCCATGGGTCACTATCCTCATTTCACCCTTCCTTCTGGCCTTGGCCCCCAAGGTTCTACACCTTTTCTCTCAGACTCACCAGGTTTTGTTCTTGCTTTCTCCACAACAAAGAGACACCCGTGACTGGCCCATGCCAGCTGACTCAGGCTCGCAGGGCTTGGGCTACAGTGCTGTTTCATTGCTGTGTAGATGTCTGGACTTGGGCTGGAGCCCAGGCTCTAGGACTTTGCGAGCTGAGGCCAGAGGTGGAGAGGGAATGAGGCTGGGCTGGAGGCAGAGCAGGGGTTGGAGCGGAGCTGAGGCTGAGATCAGAGCTGGTCTGAGGGCAGAGTGGGGCTGGATGGTGCTCCCTCCCTGCCCCCTCATTGGGGCTGGCCCAGGCCCTGCCACACGCGCCCCCCGAATGTTCCTCCACGCCCCCATACGGGGGCGCACACCCCAGTTTGGGGACCACTGTCCTAGGGACTCTAGAACATTCTCGTAAAGGCTGAGTGGGGAGTGGTAACAGACATACAGCTGGGGAGTCAGTTATAGCAGGGAGGATACTTGCAGAGTTCAAGTGTGAATATTCAGAGCCTCTAGGAAGCTATACGGTACCAGAAATAGTTAGACGAGCAGCAGGACATGTAGCTCACAAGGAACACTGGAGGTTCTGCAGTTCTGGGATGCATGTGGAGAAGTCACAGTGTCTCGCTTCTCCAGCACGCTTTTTAAAGAGTCTTCATATTATTTCTGTGCTAAATTATAAAGCATCAAAATCAAAGAACATTCTTCTTGAATAAAGATTCATTAGAAAAATAAAGAACTCTGATCCTATAATCAGAATGATCTTAGAATTTACAGGAAGAATACGTTTATCTTCTGTAATATTCATTTGTGTCACAAATATTAACTCGGACACTTGCATGGCTCCTCCTCCCTCCCTCCTTCCCTCCCCCCCAGAACAGGGAGATGGAAGAATTCTTTCACTCTTAGATCTAATTGTTTATATTCTATTGTGTTGGCTCAAATCAACTGTATAAAACGTAACCCTCTCAAACTTCACTGAATCCCGTTAATGCTCAGGCACCAGTTTGACTCATTTTAGTTGGCCTTGACTATATCTCTACTATGCTACTGCCTCACCCAACACTTTAAAAAAAAAAGTAGCATTAATCTCTGCTTCTAAGCTAGTATGTAAAAAGTTTTTAGTCTGAATTCCTTGCAGTCAAACAGTAAGGACCTGTACCATGCACACCTGATCCAAGAAATAAAAACTATAAAGTACAAAACATGTCACTATTATGATTTCTGATCTTTCTGTTAAGAACTGAACCACTGACTTCAAAAGACTGGAGACTGAATGTATATAGAAATACTACAGTAAAGCTGGGAGGGGGAGGGTTGCACGAAGAAGATTGCTTGTTCTCTTGCTTCAGGTTCTCAATCAAAGTTGGAATAATATTAATGTTTATGTATACATTTTAAATAACTGTTTCTTTCACATTCACAGGTGTTTGGCTTTTTGGCAAGTATAGGATTTCTAGCTGATGGTATTCACATGTTTATGGAGAAACGTAAAGTGAAGGAAAATAAATCAGAGAACATTGGCAACACACAGAACACACCAGAAAATCAGCCGCTGAATAACCAAATCTAAACTTTAAAAAAGTCCTTTAATTTCTATGAGTTAAATTAATCAAGATGAAAAATTTTCATTTCCCTACTTATTTCACTGCATTGAGGGTAACTTTGTCTTCTCTCTCTTTTGCATCTAGCCAGCTTTGTACAAGTCTGACCCAATCATAAGCTTTTATAGACTCTTAATTTTTTTAACAATAGTATGTTGAGCATCAGGGTTTGTACAATTCTCCATCTAACTTGTCCTGACTAATAACTGTTAGAGGGACATTCTAAAAGGAAGAAATTGCCTCCAAATAGATTTTTTTTATTTAAACATAAAATAGACATCAGTAACTGAAAGCACTGAGACTTCTGAGAAGAATGACTGTAATACAGGCGAACTCATCAGGCTTAAATTCTGAGTTATGTTTTTAAAATATTTAAATTTTATGTAAATACAGCAGGCTAGAATTAGAATTCTGTTGCATTAATTCACACCTACCTATGTTGGTGATATCCGGCTTCTTGCCTCTGATACTAAGAATGACTTAGTACAATAAAATCCCTTCCTTGTTTTAATCGGTTAAACTGAATGTAAAAGGGAAACTAAATTTTGCAATCTCATAGAGGTTTCTATCCCCAAATGAGTTGTTCTTTACTTTGATTTTATCTTGTGTGTCTTACTCCATACTTCTAGATTCTGTTTTGTGTCTCTGAAAGTCACTGCTCTTTTTTAAAGGCAGTCGGTAAAACAGATACAGCTAGCATGTGTGTATTTGATAGTCAAGTGGTATATCATAGAGTGACCTTTGCACTCCATATTTGTGGAAGTTTAAAGCTGTAAGTGATGCATTCTTTAAAAATATCGTTAAACCCATTAAAGAAAGAAGAAATTTGAAAATTAGCCTTAAGAGGAAAGGTTAAGAGGCCAATATTTTCAGCCTAGAGGAAAGAAAACTGAGAGGAGACTAACTGCCTACAAACAGTTAAAGGGATATATTTTTAAAAAAGAGGGAGCAGGGACCAATTAATCCTTTCAGTTCAAGAGGGCAGACAAAAAGTAATTAGCTTAAGCTTTGCCAGGGAAAGTTTAACTTAAAAATAAAATAATGAAACTTTGGCACCGTTCCAGTGCACAGTGGGGGGAGGGATAGCTCAGTGGTTTGAGCATTGGCCTGCTAAACCCAGGGTTGTGAGTTCAATCCTTGAGGGGGGCCACTTAGGGATCTGGGGCAAAATCAGTACTTGGCCCTGCTAGTGAAGGCAGGGGGCTGGACTCAATGACCTTTCAGGGTCCCTTCCAGTTCTATGAGATATAGATATATGTATATATGGAGATATACCTAAGATGAATGGTCATGAAAGTTGATTATTGTTTGTCCTTGCTCCTGCATGCAGCTCAGTTGGTGACTGGATAAATAAGTAAGTAAGCAGTTGTATAAACTTCTAGACTTAAGACAGCAGCCCCTGGGATGAAAAGGGAAGCTATTAGTGAGCAGTGGGTTAGGCACAAGCAGTGCAAAGATGCAAAAGACCAGACAGGTTGAGTCACATATGCAGGGCAGTGGTGAAAACGCATTCTTCAGATGTTTGAAGGGTGGGATTTTTTTTGCTGGTTGGGTTTTTTTTTCTCTGTGGAAGGGGAAAATGAGATTCTTACACCTGCAAGGGAGGGCTATGCAAGCAGGATAAATTGTAGTAAACTTCCAAGAGAACATGAGGCGCTCAAAGTATATATTTAACAAAAAAAAAAAAAAAACCCACCCCAAAACACCAGTATCTTAAAGGCCTCATTATGTAAAAGTAGTTTGTTGTCTGACTTTCCATGATACTTGCCATGTCTTCCATGATTTGAGACTATTAACATCACTTTTCCAAAATGTATTATGTCAAACCTACAGCCCTTTAAATCATTGAGGCGGCACTGAGACTAAACCCTCTAGGAACAGGTTGTCTTCTACCCTCGCCCTATTTTGAGGACAGAGTAGTAAGGGATTTAAAGTATTGTAAGTGAAGTCAGAGGCTTTTTCTAAGGCTGCTACTTTCTGATGATCATACATAATATGGTTGTAATGGTCTCCCTTCGTTAAACGTGTCAGCTCCCGAAGGGTTGAACCTGTTTGTGAAGGAAATCTGACACTAACACTACATTTTGCTGAAGGAACACGGTTAGGTGGTGTAGAGCAGCAAGCTTAGCCTGAAGCTTACATTCAGAATAAATGTACACTTTCCTTAGTGAAATTTCCTCATTTCTGAATGAAATCTGCTCTTCCTTAAGATGGACATATTTATTTTCTCTGTACATCTGTACTTAAGGACCTACTGTCTCCTCACATGTTGCCGTCACTGGTAGTTATGTGCATGATAAAAGAGATACCTTTAAGGTACCTTTACAAGCAATACCCCTGAAAATATATAACTTCCCAGTGTTGGGGATCTCCGTCATACTGTGTAAGTCCTTCATTTAGAATCACTACAATGAATATCATCAATCTTTGGCTCCATCCTGTTTTGTTAATTTCTCTGTGCATGGTTTTTACTAGATTTTTACTTGCTTTTTGCATCAAAAGTGGCTATAAATCTTGATTTTAAAAATAAAGACCTTGCTATAAGTAGAAAGTAGCATTCAGTCCACCCCCTTGCTATGTCGGGACTGTTCCCTGTAGTGTGTGTTCCTAATGTGTTGTCCAGTTTTAGTTTTAAATGTCCCAAGCAATGGGGCTTCCACCACTCTCCACAACAAATGGGTGACCTCATACAGATTTGAGTGTCAACTTATTTCTTTCTAAAATAAGAGGCTGAAAATGCCCTTTTCCAATAGAAAGGAATGAAAAACATTTATTAACTATGTCATGAAAAGGGAACGGATAATGTTTAGGAACTAGTTAGCTCTATTTTCTAATCTGCCATAGGCGTTCTCTGGGAGATGCAAGGCCCACTGCCCTCAAAAGCACACCCAGTTCTTGTCAGACTCGCAGTCTCTTTCATGTGGCAATAGAGTGCTACCACTAGACCAGCCTGGAATTGGGTTCAGGTGAGTTTATGCACATCGTAGTGGACATACAGAACTGGAATTACTAACTTAAAATGGTGTGTGCATGTGTGGTGTTGGCATAAGTTTTATGAGCATGATGTTGGTCTAAAACTCTTCATTTTTGTTTAAAAAGACTTTGGGATTACAACTCTTGAGTTTCTTTAAGTGAACCTATGAAGACTGAGCATGTAACTTTTTCATAGATATTTGGCAGCAGTTTTTACCAACTACCGTAGAAACCATATAAATAGAAGAGAGCTGGATGTAAGTCCTTCAGAACCCAGCCACACTTGTACGTTGGCTGGAGTGAGAGACTTTATTGCTGTAAAAATGGTTTTGAATTTTTTTCACACTCTAAAAAATATCCTATTTGATTTTTTTTTGTCACACTCAACTTTTTTTTTTTTTTTTTTTTTTAAATTAGGCTTGGTCCCAAAAGTGGAGAGGGGCAGTTTTAAGCAGGATTAAATGTTCCTGCAAAAATTCTTGCTTAATCAGTAATAAAACCCATGGAAGAGAGTAATTACTATAGGAAGCCTACCTGTGCATTGTGTCCTATCTCCAAGAGGGTCATCAGTAGTTGTCTATGGGATTATGGGCCTGCTGCCATCATTATTGAGAGACTTAAACCTATTGCAATGGGTCCTTCTCAGACACCAGAAGCACCTGATGAGCCTTTATACCAAATTCCGTGGTGACAAAGCTTCCCAATTTCACCCTCCACACCTGGAAAGAAGTGAAATATCTTGCACTATTCCCAGAGTCCCGCAAAAGATGTTTTGACATAACAGCACTTGCCATCATGTTGATTTTAGTTCCATTCAAAGCACAGAAACCAACTCGTACAAGAGAAATACAAAACTTCCAGTAAAGGGAAACATTTTGTGAGGTTCTTTAAAAAGTATGTATAATTGATTGCCACAGCAAATTAGCTTGATAGTGTGCTATTTAAGATATAAAATGTATGTATAAACACACCTTTGAATATGTTCATTTGTTGCTGTACATGTGTAATGTATATCTAGATAATTTTTAACTGGCAAATTTAATTTGTATTTTCATTACTTTGAGATTTAAGGAGGGTTTTTTTTTTAATGTTTACTGGGTTAGGAAAATATAATGGTTGTATAACTATGTACAGTTCTTTGGCGTGTACTGCAAATGCCTTGAAATTCCAGTTGAAGTATTTCAAAATACATAAAGAATTTTCCATTCTAAACCTGTGGCCTTTTAAATGTGCTATGCTTTTTTACTGGGTTTCTAAAATATTTTAATAATTTTAAATAAAATATTAGTAAGTAACTTGCTTACAATCTTTCTCATCTCATCTACTAATAATTTGGCATTAATAGCCACTTCTGCCAGAAGAAAATGAAGGAAATTGCTTCCTCCTTTGTTTCTAGTTAGGGCCATTTGCCGTTTGATGGAGAGGGTTTCCGTTGTCCTTGGACTGGGGAGAAGTGTTCATCTTACAGTCTTACGAAGTTGGACATTTTCAGTGGCAGTTCCCACAAATTATCTTCTGAAATATGCTCAGTATTTGTGACATTGAAAAATATTGTGCTAAAAATATTAAGGCGGCTCAGAAATGAAAAGTTAGCTGTAGGGATGCATTTATCCTAGTTTAGAGAAGAATGATCAAACTACTCGGCTGGGTAAGATTGAAATTAGATGTCTGTTTTGAAAATGCTTCTCTAAGTGCTAAAACATTCTAAGTCAAACATGCAGGTTTTTGGGGAAATAGCTTTTTACATTTTTCTCCTATTTCTGTTTTCATTGTTCTGTAAGTTCCTTCCACTCCACCAAGTGTGTTATATTATTGCTCCCATGTAATGGTGACAGAGATGCACCTTTCTCTCTAAGGCTTCTTTTTTACTTATTTTTTCGCAAACCATGTGAGTATGGTATAACTACACACCTTTTTCTTCACCATGTGCGTTGAAATTGGTATAAAGGGTGAAGTGTACCTCAGTTTTTGTATCATGACCAGAGGGGTGAAACCTGTCTCTGCTGAAAGTCAATGGGGCCTTGGTTTTCAGATGAACATATCAGTCAGCATTCTGTTAGGGATTGCGGGGACAAAAAAAATTCTTGTAAATTTGAAAAGGGTTTAACTTGAGACAAGTGTGACTGGAACAATTAGCCACAAGCACAAGAAACAAGGCACAATAATGTAACGGAAGAGTAACACAGCTGTGGATTTATAGAAAATGAACTTAACTTGAGTAGTGGGAAGGGCAGTGCAGCTTGTTCATAAGTACAAAGTCCCTATTACTGTTGACATAGTGAGACGCAGCAGGGCTTTGTCCCTGAGTAACTCCTGTACAGTCAGTGGAGTTATACCAGTGTAACAAAGCAGAATATGCCTCTAATCTGTTGGCTCACTAGATAATATGCAGGTAGCACTTGTATGCTATGATTCATCCATCTGCAGTTAATTGCAGAGGTCAATTTCTTTAGTTTAGGGTAGGAGGGAGAGCTTCCTCTTTAGAGCAAGGAGCACGACATGCCACCTACGCGCTCATGCAATGCAGCCCGTCCTTCCTCTCTAACACTGAAGAGTGGACACCAAGCAGATCAATCACATGGTTTTATTCCTAGTGAATTCAAAGGAGCAATTTCTCTTAATCTTTTAGACACATGGGAGACACAAATAGGTGTGTGTGTTAATCTGTCAACATTTCTCAGAATTATATTCAGGTTAGATGTGACCTGCTTCCTGGTAAGCTGCCAATGTACCCTCCGTTGTACAGGCTGGGCACAGCCATAAGGGTAAGCCCTAGGTTTCTTTGGACCCTATGTATAGTGATATACATAGGTCCTATCTATATCCTTCTGTTTATGACCAGGTCCTTCCACCTCTGTGTAATCACAGCACATCCCACTTTTCACTATTCCTGTCTGTATGAGATCTTCCCTACTTCTTCAATTATAGTATGCTTACTTTCTCGCCCACCAGCTTGAGACTGTTGGTATGAGCCTGTCATGGCCACACACACATACGAGGTAAGTCAGGCCAGGAGATGAAGAGCAGCTCCTGGTGACGGTGGCTAGGAAATTCCCTGTCAGCTGAGGCCCACAGGTGTTGGAGTGAGATGAGACCAAAGATGAAGAAATGATGATGGTGAC